AAGAAAAGGTTTAGGAAGAATTTTTCTATATAATTCATATGACTCTTTAGGAAACTCAAACAGACCCACATGTACTAGATTTTTAGGAGACTGACAGTCACGGCCTCCATCAACACAATTAACAGAAATAGCTACGATATGTTTATTACCGATTAGCGTGCCATCCATATTGAGTCGAAACGTTATCTGTGGTAACTGATGAAGATTTCGATTTTTGCATTGAGCTATATATACAGCAGTTTTTAGTGCATACTCGAATTGAACGTATGCTCCATCTACTACACTAACTATGGGTAATTTTAGATTGACCTCCTTCCTCTTCTTACGTACATAATGTATTGAAAAAAACTTTTGATGTTTCTTAAAAAACTTTTCTATGGCATCAATTGCTCTATCAGAGATATTATGCTCGTCTTTTAAATGCAAGAACTCTCGCTTAATCTGCTCCTGCTGCTCATGCCATATTTCATTTCTACGTAGCAGGTCTGGAAAAGATTCTTCATTATAGTTAACAGTTGCACGGTTAACACATCCTCGAGGGCTACGGTAGGATCCAAATATTTCGTCGATATCGGTGACACGAGAAGTGTCTATACTACTTGAATGTAGAAAACTTGTTTTTTCGCAATATATTAAGATCAGATCTAGCGTTAGAAAGTACTTTTAAAATATCTGATTTCAAAGTGTTGATAACGGAGTCTTCATCATAGGCTATATTTTGAGATCTTAGATACTCAGATATAATTTGTATCATACTACGCACATCCATGATATTAGGATGAGACAAAAACGAAAAACACCGTCTCAACAAACCATAAACTAAAGATTGCTTCGATTGAAGAAGTACTATTAGGTTGCAAAGCAATGATATAACTTTTATCTGCATCGAAGGAACGAAGAATAAGAAGTTTGTTTGAGTTAATGTATTTATCGAAACCATGAGTACTTAACTCAAAAGATGTTGTATGTTTATCACCCGTTTGAGGAACTGGAGAAAGTACATGAACACAATTAAGGAAAAAAGTAAAATCATTTTGTTCTCGGAGAGCATTCAGAACTGTCACAGTATTTCGTTCTGCAGTTCCTTTTTTAGTATTTGTCATTGTCAATAACTTCAGACGCAATTCGCGCTTCAAAGTAGACAAACTAATATAATATTTCAGTTCTGTAAACACGAATGTACAGATATCATCACATAAACAGTTAAGATTCAATGGTGTGCCCCTACTACGACGTACAAGGCGTTCAAAATACGAGCTCAGGTACGCATAATTGGCCTTCATCACTAGAGTATTATTCTCAAACATAAATGATACTCTTTCATGACTGCTTATTGTTACGTGACTATCTGTAACCGTACAAAAATCCATAGAACTTTCAGAATTTAAAAGAGATAATTCACTAACATGCTTTTGTTCAAAATACAGCGTTAAATTTTTCTGCGTTTTTTTCTTTGCTGATAAAGATATAGCATTCGAACAGTTTCTTCTTAAAATACTCTCTGCGACAGTTTTTCCTTCAGCACCAAGTCTGGTTTTTACCCGAAATTGAATTTCTTCCAGATGTGCACTGAGCTTATTACTTGCATCAGGCAGATCTGATATATCAAGAACAATTTTATATTGACTCTGCTTGACATGCTAATAAGAATGAATACTCACATTTTATTATTCTGGTTAAGAAATAAACAAATGATTGATGAATAAGAGTGATAAATGCTAATACGCAAATATAAGGTTTTCACAGTTAGAATGTACAGCACAATATGTTTTTTTTCAGATAGGTGTAGTAGTAACAGAAAGCAATAATAAACCTACTTTTATTCCTGCATATACCTCTTTCTTTCCTGCATATGAGACAAAGATTTCTTGTATTTTCCATCTGACGGATTGTTCCAAAATTGAACTAATCTGCCTGCATATTTGCTAATTGATAAATTCTTTCATATGTACAGTGATAAGCTGATCAAAACGATCAGCTTAGTGAAACTCTATGTCACAATACTTAATCCCTTTCAAAATGTGTCTAATTGGCTCAGATTATATTACTTTTATATAACTCTTAAAACAGAAACGATTTCTTCATTAAATTTATTTGATATGCACTAGTTACTGCTCTGGACAGTTAAATAAAAAAAAGTTGAAGATACATTTGTGAGCGCCTTATACTACTATCATGACCCGAAGAGAAAGCCGGAAAGTCATGCTAGTGAAGAATTCCTTTCAAGAAACGTACGTGTCAAGAAAAAATAGACTGTACCCTTTTCTAAAAAACAGCTTGGCATACAGTACAACCTGTGTACTTCAAATTGTGTTAAAAACTGGAGAGGGGTACTTCCACCTCCATAGAAATTCAAGATTGCCGAGTCGGCAATCTTGAATTTCTATTGTTTAGCGCATAGAACTAGTCAAATCCTATCCCATCCGTATGCTACTTTTTAGTTTTGAAATAGTAAATTTACCACTCGAAACTATTTGTTTTAGATGTAAATAAATCACACAGAGTGAACAAGGCGAATATCAGTGTTTAGGCGCGAACCTGCGTTTAAAGTGGCGCCAAACTAATGGCGCTTAAAAACATTGATAAAAAAAAAAAATTTCTGAATTTCCCTCTTTCAAATTTTATGCTAAGTTAATATACATTTAATTTTGGGATTTTTTATATATAGATGAGCCGGTATCTCTGAGCCTCGCAAAAGTTTGCACTTTTCATATGATCACATTTATTAACCACAGAGACACAATTCTGGAATGGACGACAGAAGTTTCCACTCTCACGAGGGAACCTTTCGAGGTGATTAAAAGCTTTTTGATCGACATGTTATCGACCATGCTAATGCCGAATATGATCATCGGACTGGCCCATAGCTCTTCGAAGATCCAGTCTTCTGGAGAACCAGTTTTTCAGAAATTCCAAAAAATAACCCAAGCCTTTCTTAATAATGCAGGATGGTAGCGCGCAAATTTCTGATTAAAATGATACATCCTCCAGCTCTACACGACCTTTCTTTGCAAAGTTATAGAATTTATAAGAAGAGCCTTAAATTGTTCATTGTCAGCTCAAAGCTACAGAAATAAAAAGGAAAGAATTAATTTAGGGCTCTTCTTATAAATTCTATAACTTTTGCAAAGAAAGGTCGTGTAGAGCTGGGGGATGTATCATTTTAATCAGAAATTTGCGCGCTACAATCCTGCATTATTAAGGAAGGCTTGGGCTATTTTTTGGGATTTCTGAAAAACTGGTTCTCCAGAAGACTGGATCTTCGAAGAGCTATGGGCCAGTCCGATGATCATATTCGGCATCAGCATGATCGATAACATGTCGATCAAAAAGCTTTTAATCACCTGGAAAGGTTCCCTCGTCAGTCTTACCATTGTGCAGTCCTAGCGTATCTTAACCTTATGAAACTCGATTAAAAACTCCTATTAAACATCGACCAACCAGTGATTAGCTACATCCTCTATGTGTACCTCATGGTCAAATAACTTATACCCATATGCAGTTTGAACCACATTATTTGGAGTTGTGTATAGTATATATTCAGTTGAAGTTTCCTTCTGCCGCAAGTACGCTATTTTGTTGATGGGTCAAATTCTCGAAAACGATGCACGCCGTCGAAGTGCATTTGTAGCTCATATAGCGCCACGCAAATTATTCGAGAAGGCACTCTTCAGTATTTTCTCATTAGTCAATCCCCATCACTGCTGAACGGTGTCATTTCGAAGTCAGTTAACTAACCAAAGATTCGGATTAAACTAAGTTATTATAAAAATGTCGTTTGAACGTGGCTTAACGCTTGAAGGGTAAAATTCTACGGATGACGTGTAGCATTTTCATGCTTCATATGCGGTCAAAATTCTCAAATGTGATCATCCTACACTTCATCTGTACAATTTAACACTTGATCCGTGTTTTTTTGGGGCAGTGGTAGCTATATTTTCTTTCTGTTCTATGCGATTATCTATAATAATTTGCTGATAGAATAGCCCAATAAAAAATCGGTCTGTGTTTCCAGAATCTGGAAAAATTCTGTAACAGAGCTGTGAGAGACGTTAGAATCGATATTAGTGATCGTTTTCTTTCTATGATGAGTATGAAGGCTCTAACATAAAAAACTACGGTACGCTGAAATCTTATAACTTTTAATTTTAACACAGCTTCTATTTTTCCTCATTGCGAGATTTGTACTCTTTTTATTTTTATCCATGCTAATTGTATGAAGATAAACACAAAAAACCGTTAAATTCTGTTACGAGGAGAAACGAACAAAGATCAGTACCGATGAGTAGCTCATTGTTCATGTGCACCTTTCAATCATTATTCTTATGGTTCAAATCTTATAAGAGAGGAAAGAAATAAGTTTTCCGATGATGATACTGATGAATTAGTTAGATCTTAATGATACAAAATGAGACATTTGTCTGACAAAATCATATATCTGTGACTCCAGCGTTATCGATCAGGAGGTGGCATACCACCTCCTCGTTTGGATACAGTTACTTACTCAAATTTTTTAAGAAATTTAAGTAGAGAAACTGCCTTTTCTAATCTGTCTGAGTAAGAGATTTTTTCCAGCTTCTGAGTAACTCAGTTACTCAGAAAATATTTTAATCAAAAAATGCGTTTACTCAATGAGAAACTTTAGTTACTCAGCAGGCTCGCCACCCCCCGCCAAAACTACTATCGAAAACACTGTGTGACTCCGGTGGTAACTACCATCAATATATGCTCGATACCAGTTTTGTGAGAATACCTTATGATGACTTTGTTTATTATTTTCTGTTTTAGATTAGATTACATGTATTATAAATGTAAATGATTTTTTATACTAGTTGCTTTGCCTTCATTTATTCCAATATTTGATTTATTATCAATTGAACATCATTTTCATTTATACAGTTTCGTTTTCGCTGCTTAATAGCGTTGATCCCATGCAATATTAAAGAAAAAACCTTTACAAAACTTGTTGTTTTCAGATCACTATCGTACACGTTTTCAGTATGAACGAAAATTTTACATGGTTTGACGAATTACAATTTAACTCTTTGGTAAGAATCAGTGGTTTTAGTATACGCTCTCTTTTTTTTAAAATTTGAAGTTAGAAATATTCATAATGAAACATTGAGTTTATTGATGGGTACAAATTTTAAAATTGTTGTGATGTTTGTAAAACAACTACTATTATCATCACAATAATTTCAAGCAAAAGTCGACGGACCATTGTATAACCATGTTATCAAAATTTTAGTATCTGCTTTATTTTAAAACTGGTTGGATAACTTTTTTGCTTTATATCATCTCATCTATCTTTGTTGACAGCACAATTCTTTCCGCAAATGCGTTATTTGAGCATTTTCGTACCATATGTTTCATTATTACTCTCAGAGTATAGAAAATTGATTTGATATTTGAGATTTGAGATGTTGACTGATCTGAACCTGAATAACATCATAACAGAAATGTTTGATTGAGTGCATCGGTTTTGATGTCGATGATACAGCTAGCATCTTTATTTACAATAAAAGGTTAAGTAATGATGCAGGTCAAATAGAAAAATTAAAATATGCTGAATACCAGTACTTGAATCAGTAAGACTGCTGTAGATCAAATACCACTTTCCCGGTTTTATTATATGATATTAGACTGGAGTACAGGGTTTTCGATTGTTCTTAGGGATGGGAAAGACTAAGAATTTTGCTTCGAAGAAAATGACTGGCGAAATCAAGAATTCGAAATTTTTAACAGAAAGTTGCTGGTGGAAAAACGTCAAAGATTTTGCCACAAAATTCAAAAAGTTCTTAGAGGGTATCCAGCATCTCCTCCATGATCGGGGATCCTGCTGGAGTACCAGTAAGAGGGATAGTTGGATGTTAACGAAAATAATTATTATCCAACGAAAAACATGTGTTGAGCATTTAAAACGATGTACTAGTAACTAAATAAAGACGGAACAGAATAATTATTGATGAAAACTGCTGATGAAGCAAACACAACAAGTGAATATTCAAAATCATTTATCTTATCATATAGAATAATCTAAAGTTGATATTTGTTAAGCAATTATTTTTAGTTAAACAATCAAATCGTCCATCATTTAATCAGCAGTACTATTAATTCTTCTATCCCTGTTAATTTGTATAATGAAGGTAACAATTAAGGTAGAGTAGCGTAATATAAAAAAGTTTTAAAAAAATTTTAAATTATATTGGGAAAAGTTTTCAACATATAAATATTGTCATATTGTGATAATAATAATAATGAACGCGTTTAAGTTTTGTTGTTATTTATACCATCTTTGTCCATTGCTGATTATTCATAAATATATTTATTTTTTTAAAGAACAATCAACAAACTTACGTTACAAAACAAGATTTTCTCTTACTAAACAAAAAAATTGTTGCCACAGAGTAAGTTTACATTATTTTCTTTTCTTTTTTCTAGTAAATTGATTATTATTGCTTTATTTTGTTTTGTTTTACAGACTGATAGTCAATCGTTATTTAGAAGCAAAAAAAGCATTGCAGTCCTTACAAAATGAAAATGATCAATTGAAGCAACGACTTGATCATGTTACAAAGTATTATCTATTCTTTTTCGTTACATTGATTTTATCTAATTTTAAAAACATGTTTATATTGTATTCTAGTGAGTGTTGCTTATTTGGAAAACAAATTGCAGAGTGTACAGATGAATATGATGCATTAAAAAGAGTATGTATATGTATCTAGTTTGATAAATGATGAAGTAACAGATTTTTTATATGTAGGATTATGATTTACTGAATGAAGAGAAAAACGCTTTGCAAAAAGAATTTGGAATAATAAAAGATCAAAATACGGCGTATTATCATGAACTAATGGTTATGGTAAGATGTTTGCTGGATTTTTGTTTTGTTTTATATCTTTGATAATTCAAAATGGAATGAAGGTTTTCTATACCTGTACTATATTGCTGCGCTTAAGTAAGATGCACGTAATCCAAACTTACAGTGACATTTTTTTTCGAATTTTTTTATACATATTCCAAAAATCTTTGCTATTAAAAAACTGAAATTTTTCCGTATTTTACTTACGATAACTTTTCCTTTTATATTTTCCTAATTCTGCATTCAAAACTGAACAGAAAATTAGTCTTATAAACATTTTAGACGCAAACGTTGATTCACCAGTGTACATATCTCAAAAGCGCTACACAATTTTGCAAGCCTAACAGAGCGTTTCGTGGAAGTAGTAGAGTCAATATTTGCGCCTTGTTGGGTTCGATAGAAGCTAAGCTTCAAAACAACGAATCGCTTTTTGAAAAATTCCTTTTTCTCGCTGAGAAAGTTCGTTTTTTCTAAATCAGAGGCGAAAAAGTCGGAATTCTGCTCGTAATTCTCAGTTTTTTCGATCAGACTTCAGCTTTTGACCAATAAAATTATCATGATCGGAATCAGGATTGAAAACTGAGTCGATTGATGTGTATTTCTATCCTATCCGACTACTTTAATGTTTTTCGAATTTTCAGGTTGAAAAATTATCCAGATTTTCACCCAAAACTGAAATTCAACTAAACATTTCAGAATACACACCAGTCGATCCAATTTTCATCCTGATTTCAATCATGATAATTTTATTGGTCAAAAGCTGAATTCTGATCGAAAAAACTGAGAATTACGAGCAGAATTCCGACTTTTTCGCCTCTGATTTAGAAAAAATGAACTTTCTCAGCGAGAAAAAGGAATTTTTCAAAAAGCGATTCGTTGTTTTGAAGCTTAGCTTCTATCGAACCTAACAAGGCGCAAATATTGACTCTACTACTTCTACGAAACGCTCTGTTAGGTTTGCAAAATTGTGTAGCGCTGTTGAGATATATACACTGGTGAATCAACGTTTGCGTCTAAAATTTTTATAAGACTAATTTTCTGTTCAGTTTTGAATGCAGAATTAGGAAAATATAAAAGGAAAAGTTATCGTAAGTAAAATACGGAAAAATTTCAGTTTTTCAATACCAAAGATTTTTTGAGATCCTCTCAGTATTTTTAGTCGTTGCTGCAGGAAGGATTTTTAAGACTGGGAGAGCGATATTCATAATCAGCTCGACGATGCGAATCCGAATATGTATAAGAAACTCGAAAATAAATGTCACTGCAAGTGTGGATTAAACGCATCTTATCAGATTGTACGATATGGCCTCTAAATATAATAGAGTTGACTGTACTGTTTCCTATTCGATGAATGCAGTTTTCACTAACTATACTATAATCATTCATAAGTTGTCTTTGATTACATGTACGCTTATATTTTTCTTTTAGGACCAATATCATTCATTGAAAGGAACAAATGAACAGTTAAGAAAAGAGTTAGAACGTTGTAAAAAAGAAAAATCAAAACTCAATTACAAACTACAACAAAGCTCGTATAATAACACAAAGTATGCTTGTCTAAACAAAAATGACTAAATATCTTTTAAAAAAATGATTTTTGATTATTTTTTTCTAGAGTTTAAAATCACTCACAACTTTCGTCATCTAGTGACCCATATCAAACTGGTAAGTTTTAGGCGTCAAATTATCTGTATTATGAATTTAAACAGAAATACTCTTTTTCTTTAGAAACTGCTTTGAAAGTGTCGATGAAATCAATACGTGAATTGAAACTGGCACTAGGGCGTTTAGTGAACTTTTTACACGCAAAAAGTATGATCATATTTCTCGCAAGTGAGCATATATTGTTTTAATAACTGTTCATTTTTGTTTTAGAAATTGCCATTCCCACATCTTTATATATTCGTTCGATATTAAAAGCTCACACGATTGATGATGGTAAGTTTTGAGGCTATGTTTTTTAAAGTTTTATGTAATACTGATTTAGATTGATTTTGTTTTAGATTTTATGGAAATGGAAGGAGAATTTACGTTAAGACCAACAGAACCGATACAACAGGTATGCATTACACTCACCTCTGTACACTGGAACTATAGTGAAGGTTTGCTGTAAAACAACACGGCTATTCTCTGTTTAATCTTTGAAGAGGTGAATCATCTTACAACAATAGCGTTAGACTTTCTCTACATGTATCGAAACTGAATTCATACGTTGTTCGCAATAATTACACTCACCTTGCATCATGTTTAGATAAAATCAGGTGTGACCTTGTTAAATAATCAAGACGAAAACGATGTGAAAAATAATGACGATTTTATTGATGTTCAACCGACCATGGCTACTCAGCTTTCTCAACAACAGCAACTGCCAATGCAATCCAAATCAAAGTCGCAAAAATCTCCTCAGAAACAAATGGAAACAAAAAAACGACGAAAACGTCCAACAAAAGGAAAACGACATACAAAAGATGAAACGGACGATTTAATTAATGAATTAAAAAACGCCTTATCGCAATACGAAGAACCAGAAAAAAAAGAAACAGCAACACTAGAGCTGTCAGCATTAATGAACGACTTTTTCGGTGATTTTGACACTCATGGAATAGATGCCGATCAACAACCAGTAACATATGTACAACCACCAATAATCGATAATAATGCACCTAAAAGTTTTTCAAAATTATTATCTGGCTATGAGACTGAAGACGAAGATGCGTTCACATTTATTGACCAAAGACAACCGAAAACAGTCAAAACATCGAAGGAAAATAGTGGAAAGAGAGACGGTGAAAGAAAAACAAAACTGGCGTCTGTTATTACGCAAGATCCATTATTGAACATCACTGATCAAGAAATTGATGGACCAATACTTAGTTCTGTTAAGTTTTCAAGCGCTGTTGATAACGAAATAACAAACTATGAACAAATTCGAATGCAAAGCTTTTTTTCCGACAATGATAAAATTCAGTCCGATTCCAACAGTTCCAATACCAGTACAATAGTGTATGATAGTCAAAAAACTATCTCAAAAAACTGTGACATAACACGTAGTTCGATAACAACGTTAGTCAAAACTGTAAACAGTGAAATTCTGATTGAAAATGAAAAGATTCAATCCTCCATTACTAAAGAAATAGTCAATCAACAATTGCAAACACAAAATAATAGATTATCAACTCAAATAGATATTTTATATACAACAGAAATGGAAGATGATGATCGTAAAGAAGAAAAAGAGAAAATAACGATTAGTCCAATCGAAGAAGTTGAAAAGATAAGTGTTGAACAAGAAAAACATTATGATGATATAACAATCATAAGAGATATATTTACAAATATTATTGAAGATATTGAAGGAAAAATAGCATATGAGGCCAAATGTTTACTTGTCAAACGTATTTTCAGGTTCACACAAGATATTCAAATATCATTGTTATCATCAGCTATTGTTCCAGAGAATAAAGAGAAAATGGTTTGTTTAATAAAATCCTGTAGTCATTTTTCTGTATAAACCTTTGATCATTTTCGTTTTTATTTTCAAGGTCAAGCGTAAATCAACTACGGTGCTTAAAAGTAATACTCAGACAATTCCTATTACTATGGAAATTTCTGATACAAAAGTCGTCCACAATTCTATTGTCTCGAAGGTTGATTCAATGATGATTCAGCATGTCCATGAGCATGAATCAATAAAACAACGTATTAATGATCATACATTTACTAATAGTAATCTCAATGAAATCGTTAATTTATCGTCTGACTTCGATATTGTACATGTTATTTGCGACAAATGTCCTCTAACAAATGAAGACAACAAACAGTTAAAAGGTACATTTTGTATATATTGATAGAAAATAACGCTTTTAATATATAAGTTTCCTTTTGTTTGTTATTCCATTACGAGATAGTTCGTCAGTAGACGTTTCACTGAAAGACACACTTGGATTCTTCAAGTCACTTCTGCGTCACTTGAAAAGATTCAGTCATCTGTCTGTTGTACAGTGATTTCAAGACGACCCGTAATAATTCTGGTTTTGAATTGTGGTTGTATTCTTTTTTCTTAGTATGATTTTGTCGAAGAATATATTGGAGATAGTTTTCTGAAATCTTCTAATTTGTTTCTGTTCTAAATTTATTTGAAAACATGTCAGTCAGCAATAGCAATGCTGATAATGATGACATAGATTTATCCAATACTAGTGGTCAAGAATTATTACGATTAATTGAAAAATCATTTTGTCTAAGTGTTAGAAAAATATTATAACAGAAAAAGATGAAATGAGAAAGCATTAGCATTGATATAGTCGACCAGAAATACTCTATTAATCTCTCTTAGTCAATTCTAAAAATTTTCACTATATGTAATAAATGTGCAATGGAGTGTAGTAAGTGTGTAGTGGGGTGCAGTGGATGTGTAGTGAGGTGTGGTGGACAATCTCATGTAGTGTTGTTTTCCCCCTCTTGATTTAAGAACTTCTCAGATAATTTATGATCATTTACTTGGGCACGCTCTGCAAAACAGGTCTTTCACTTGTGTTATCCTAAGGCACGACTATGATAGCAGGATGTTTTTTACTTCGCTCAAATACACCGGCAAGTTGTGATGTTTTTATTTCAGAACACAGGCAACACAAATGTCTCAAACTTTCACAGTAAACTAATCTCAACGAGGCTTGTTTCTGTGAAAAATTTTAATTTAAAATTCAAAACAAAGTTTTTCTGGTATTCTTGAAGCCGACCATGACATGGAGGCTAAAAAACAGCGTAAATATGTAGTGTCCGGACGCTAACAAGGTTGTGGCTCGAACTTTTTTCAGTGTATCCGTAGCTCATTAGGATCTACATAATGGACATAGTTATGACTCAAAATCCATTGAATAGCTGACGACCTTTCCTCATAAGTTTTACAATCGCAAGCCTAATACCTCCGTCACCTATTATAACGACTACCCCCAGAAGACTGCAGCGAGTTACAAGGGGTAGCTCCTAATAGGCCACGAAAAGTTATAGGAAACATCCTTTGATAAACCCTAAAAATTTATATGGATTACCCTCCATTAGGGCCCGAAAAGTTGTAGAAATTACTCCCCAATAGCCCCTGAGTAGCTAAAGAAATTACTACCCGGTTGACCTTTTAAAATTATACAGACCAGTCTCGGGGTAGAAATGAAAAGTAGTTGCGATATTTTTTTTATTTTGTTATTTTCTCATTTACCTTTTCTGTAATGACCAAAAGTCGTCAGTTATTCTTCGTTATACAAACATAAATATTTCTTTATATTTGTTAAAGAAACGCAATATAGGGTTACATTCTTCGTGAGAATAAAGTTGGAATTAAATGGTGTTTGAGTGAAAATGATCACTTAATACTTAATCTCCACTGAATCAAGTGTTAAATAAAAAAACTTAATTTTATTAATAAGTGCTAAGTTACGAACCTTAATTTAATATTAAGATGAAATATTTTTTGGAACTTTCTCAGTCCTCCCTGGGATTAGTCCTTTCAACTTTCTGAGTGCTATTCATGAATATTATGTTCTATTGAAGTTTGAATGAATGAAAAGAAACGTTTTTCAGCTTTTCCGGTTACTATCTTGAACATTCGGATCCGAACGAGCACAGTATCGAGCCAATTATCCCAAAATCCTTTCCAGATTCTTACAACTTCTAATAGAGCACACAAAATGCGGTTACATCAAAACCGTTCAAGTACTTCAAACATAATTTTAGGAAGGGTTTAGATCAAGAATTTTGTATTTGCTTATAGATTCCAATTAGAAAAAAGGTAAAAGGTTTCTTATTAGCACATAAAATTTGGAATCAAATATGATATTCGTGATCACCGCAATAGAGTCCTGTGGGGTAATTCGGATCACAAATTCAAAATTTCATTTTATTTTATTTTTCGTTCTCAGCCATTTTACGGGAATGGGTTTAGTTAGAGATTATTTATGAAATTCTTCATTTCTCATAATGATTGTTCGAGGAGGATTTCCGAGAGAGAAGCTGTTTATGTCTCGTTCATCTGTCTCTTTCTATCAAATAACAGAGTATTCAATATAATAGACTGGTTACGTTTCTGATTGACAGAAACCCAGACAACGTGAACATTTCTACCTTCATCCCTTCGGTCTTTCCTAATTTTTATTTGAAGTTTAGAGAAGATGACGGAGTGAGATTAATCTTTTTTCTTCTTTTTCGATAGGGGGAATAAAAAACTCCTTCTTATTCACAGCGATATACACACACAGACATGTGCTCTATTTTCGTCTTTTTCGGATAGAAGAACACGAGTTCTTTTTATCCATAGAGAAATGTGCTTTAGTTTCTTCTTCTTCAATAAGAAGAACATAACTTCTTATTTAAAACAAGATAAGTTGTTATTATTTCACTAACAATGACACGTAAGTACGTGCATTCATTTTTTTCACTATGTTTCACACCATAACCCAGCTGAAGAGACCCATGAGCAAGGTCGAAACCGTTCCTGGGTTGCTCAGCGTTTTTTCTTTTTTCTTTTTTTAAAAATAGTTTTCGACAAAAGTCGAACTTTTTCAAGATTGTCGTTTTTGGTTCAAAAGTTTCAACACCAATGATAATTCCTTTTGTAGCCAGCCATAAACTGCAAGTCTGACCTTATATTGTCAGACTTGTAACAAATACAATACGAGAAGTGTAAGTATTTATAAATGCGAGAGAAGGAAAGGGCATAAGGAGAAAAAAAATATATAAACAGAAATATCTAAGGTAATAATGCATCTTCTGTTTTTCTGGTCTCTTCATCAAATTACATGTGAAGTCTACCTGGATGAAGCGAAATAATACGACGAATCAATTCGTACAATGTCGCTGTAGGAGGAACGAAAGCTTGATTATCTTTATTTTGGAGATACAAACAGAAATTTATCAAACTCATTCATATTCAGAAGCGAATCTCTCACATTTTAAACCTGACTTAAAAAGAATCGAATAATATAGTTATTGGCGTGTTCAATATAGCAAAGCCACTACGTGATAATTCAGTCATCTGGATAATTCATTGGTGTCATTGTAAAATTAGTTAATGGTGCTGAGATCAGTTTTGTCAAACACGATCTGGAAGAAAGCGTTGAAGTATTTAGGGATAGAAATTTGGACCCACTCCCCAGAACCGCAGACCGTGACAGACAGAGATCAAAGGCCATTATAAACTGTCACAGACGTGGCAACACAGGCCAAAGGACAGTGTAGAGTGTCACCTACTATGGTCAATAGATTTCAAACACCATTACAAAGCGTCACAGACTGTGACAGATATTTTAATTAATTAAACAATTAATTAAGTAAGTACGCTCTCATAAATCAATTACTCTTCAGAGGGTGTGATAAACCCGGTCTGGAGACCGGTTTTAATCCCGCAGGGATTGCGCTAACAGCTTTTTAAACGTAAATGTACTTAGAAATTCTACTCGAACAATCATTATGAGAAATGAAAAATTTCATAAATAATCTCTAACTAAACCCATTCCCGTAATAGAAGACCTCTGTACGATATAACTCCAATCGACGTATAAACATATTATATCAAAACATTTTACACCACGGCTGAATTGTTCGAAGACTTAATGAACCATTTAAATCACGAAATACTTTTCGTGGATGATCACCTGAATTATGTTTACGACGTGCAAAATTTTGAAGGTCTTTGCGTTTCATGATCTGAAAAACACACCAGATTTTAACATGTAGATTTTTTCATATGATTTTGTTAAATTTCACGACGAATACTCTTTAAAAAGTTAGCGCACTGCAGTAAAAGGCTGCGGAGTTAAAAGCAAAATACAAAGTGATTTATTTCTTCTGGATCGCCCTTTATATAAGAGAATATTATGAAATGAAAGAGATGCAGATGTATTCGATTGTTCGATGAACAGGTAACACGGGATATGCCGTTGTTTTTGTAAAAGGATTGGGAGATAGAAGAAACGTTTAGACGGCTAAAAAAGCAAATTGATCCTGTTTATGAAAGGAAATCGATTTTCTTAGAGCCCTTCTGTTGGACTATATTGTTTCGTAATTGAGTCTATCTTGGATTGATTGGGGATTCTGATATTCGTTGTTTTATATAATATTATTGAAGGATTATATTGATGTGGATATAGAGATGCTTTGGAGAGATTGAAAGGGGTTGAGTTTAGAGGGATAGTTGTGGGAGTATTGGATGATATTTATTGATTGCGTGATGTGTTTTGGATGGTTGTGGGAAACAAACATATATACTTCTCCAACATACAAGTATTTAATTGACGAAAAAATTTTAGCTTGAAATTTTGATCTAAAAACATGTTTGGAGCGATCTTGAGCTCGATTTTCATGGTTTCCTAACTCTGTCTGTGGGTACGTTTGTATCAACTGTATACTCTAAATGCTGAGCTGATCCTCACGAAATTCTGTCTCAGGTACGTTTTGGATATGATGAGTACCTGAAAAGATTTTGATCCAGATCGAATTGGTTTACCCACCTGCGGGTTATAATGTTTTCTCTTATTTGTTTTTAGATTTTATAAACATTCCGAATTACTAACTTTAAACAGAAAATATAAGATAAGCAAAATATTAAAAAGGCATGTTTTCTGAAACATGTAAAACATTATTACAAACAATAAAAGACTGCAAATCTAAAAACCAAAGCCCACCATCTAAACAACCTCTGCGGCTTCGAAAAGTTATAATAACAGCACTAGCAATCAGAAAATTTCAAAAGTTTGAATCAGATAAATTCAAGCAATCGATTGAATGTGTCTTTGATAAAACAGTTGCAATTAACGAATTAAAACGTTTTCACACACAAGACAAATCGTTTTATTTAAAAGAGCCTAAGAAGTTTGCATATTACATACGCAAGTTTACATTAACATTCGACGAATTGAAAAGTGTACATACAGATCTGTTAAGTCAACTCAATCAACATTTGCAAGGCTTAGATGGTAATGTTGATGAACGCGTTCAATATTGGGAAGACCCAGATGATAATGTTGAGGAACAAGTTCAAGATTCGAAATACTCAGATGATAATGTTGATGAACAAGTTCAACGTTCGGAAGACTCAGATAGTAATGTTGATGAACACGTTCAATATTGGGAAAAGTCAGATAGTAATATTGATGAACAAGTTCAACGTTCGGAAGACTCAGATGGTAATGTTGATGAACACGTTCAATATTGGGAAGACCCAGATGATAATGTTGATGAAGAAGTTCAAGGTTGGGAAAAGTCAGATAGTAATATTGATGAACAAGTTCAACGTTCGGAAGACTCAGATGGTAATGTTGATGAACACGTTCAATATTGGGAAAAGTCAGATGGTAATATTGATGAACAAGTTCAACGTTCGGAAGACTCAGATGGTAATGTTGATGAACACGTTCAATATTGGGAAGACCCAGATGATAATGTTGATGAAGAAGTTCAAGGTTGGGAAAAGTCAGATAGTAATATTGATGAACAAGTTCAACGTTCGGAAGACTCAGATGGTAATGTTGATGAACACGTTCAATATTGGGAA